CCTTCTCCTTTTTATCAACCCGGACATGGCGACCATCTGTCGTCCACATGACCATTGCTGTCCCAAGCATTCATGAAATGAACGAAGCCCTTCAGGCGAACGAACAGGAGCTTCAAAATAACAGAAAAAATGAGAAAAACAACAACAACAAAAAGTAAAATTAAAGATTAAAAAAGCAGTAATGACGTAATTATATGTACTTAAGGGTCGGGCTACAGAGGCGGATGAGTGAATGCGTCGAAGCGTGCACAAATGTGTACACGTGTTTCCTGTCGCAAAGAAGAAGGAATGGGGTTATTCAAAAGGGAGAGATGGGAAGTAAACGAAAGAAGTGAGCATTTGTCCTCTCGGTCTAAGCTTTCATGCCAGCTTGCATAATAAACAGTCACGTCTGACTCATCGGGTCAACAAAAATCGATCATTTCCCAGTGGCTACACGACGTTGATATTTAATGTTATGTATTGACTTTGAACCAATGAAGACCTTTTGTATTTCATACGAAGGTTTGTTTGTATGAACTATTAGTGCTTCTAACGAATTAGAGATTTTCATTAATAATAAAATTTGTTGAGAAATGTATTGTATAAGTCACTTTCTTCTCTTTTCTTTCTTACTACTCATTATTTTTAATGATTTTTGCACAAGTATCTGCTGAAGCTCGATAAAGGCTATGTGACACCAAGTCTCCAGAACTTTCAAGAACACTTGTCTAAGTAATTTCAGTCTTTCCTGATTTACATTTTTCTGAGCGCTTCTCATGGCTCTTCAGATCTGTTCCTTGGCCAGCAAAAAATCCGGGTAATTATTGCATCTTCATATTATAGAATATGTTTTCGTTCTCCGTCAACGTCCTGATATTCATTCTGTCACATCACAGCTTTCTTTAACTCTTTGATAAATGGGCGTTGTCACGGGTCCTGACTTAGGTAATTTGTTTTCATTTCGAATCCCACAGATTTTAAATTTTCTATTCTCAACGAAATTTTCTAGTTTGTAATATGATTGGCCTTCATAATTAAATCTATATTCTTTGCTCAATTCTTAAGTGATAACCACTTCTATTCAATTCTGCATAGTTTATACTGTTTTGGAACTCATTCACTATAAGACTGATAGTGTCGTGTTTTTGAACAGACCACTTTTTTGTGTCTAGTGTATTTTTGGCTTTGGTGTCATTCATTCTAAAACTTGTTCTAAAAAGTTTCCATCTTGTCTCTTCAGATATTCCAGTTAGAGTTTGTTCAACACCCCAAAGAGTAATTATATAGATATATAGATAAAACAAGACAAACAGGTAATATATTGTAGAATAAAACCAGAGAGAAGAAGAAATGCGTTTATAATGAGTCTGCCTCAAAGTCAATGGTGTTTAAAATGAAAGATGTGGTGTCATTTTTGTAAGCAGCTGTAATTCTAATATCAAGTATCAATGTGAATTGTTTCTTGATAATGAAACTTTTTCACTCATTAATGATGCGAAGCAAATCTAATAATTTCAGTGGATTATCTGAAAGTCATTTGCATACTCATTTGCATAATCAACCTTCTTGCGCCAGTCTTCATTTTTGACTTCATAATTTATGCAAAGATCGAGCGACTGCGTGTTTTTTTTTTTTTTTTTTTTTTTTTTTTTCGGTTGGCAGCAAAATCCTTCCATAGTTATAATTACCGTGGGCAACATTCATTTGAATTTACAAAGATGAACAGAATTGTTTTCGGTGTGTAAATTACCTACATTGTAAATCCTTACATATATCACTTAGTGTAATGTATGCACGGAGGTTTTAATGCGTCTTTATGGAGATTCGTTGTTAATTTTTCGATAGTGACAAAATTTCGCACTATATATACAGGAAACACAGACAAACATACATACACACACACACGCACACACACACACACACATATATATATATATATATATATATATATATATATATATATATATATATATATATATATATATATATTAAATCTCGAATGTATGTATAGTCAAACCTAATGTTTAAAAAACATTTTAAAAAATAATAAATATTTCTTGAACTTTTATTTTAGTTTTAATTCTAAGCTAATAGTTGAACTATAATATTTACGATTAGAAAAATAATTTGCTGCATTTCAAAACAAATTTAAATGGCGTGGAATTATTTTATTGATTATCTGTAAAATCTGTCAACACAATATGATTGTATTTATGAAAAAATCCTTCAAAAATAAAATATATATTTCTGAAATATTATTTGAGAAAAGTTAGCTGTTTTAAGTTTAAGTAATCTGAATTAAAACATTACTTTTAATTTAATATATCACAGAAAAAGCATTTTTTTAACAGAGAAGCTGTTTCATAATTTCATGATTATATATATATATATATATATATATATATATATATATATATATATATATTCATATATATATATATATATATAGATATTCATATATATATATATATATATATATATATATATATATATATATATATATATATCGATTTATGTTGATGCGTAAGCTCTCAATGAATACGCATATTAATACAGTTCTATATTTTTGTTTTGACTGGTTTACTCATGCGTTAAAAGATTGATATTGTGTTAGTCTTTAGTATTATTAGTTTATGACACATGAATAATTAAATATGTTTTTCCAAATTATTCTAATTGCAACCCTGTTCTTTGCCTAAATTTTTTTTTTTTTTTTCTACTGCTTGCATAAACAAGATATTATTACCTGTAGACGCCTTTGTAACGAATATATATACATACATACATATATATATATATATATATATATATATATATATATATATATATATATATATATATATATATATATGCTGGACCAAAAGTAGGCATACAGTTGATTCCCGTTTCTGATCTAACTTCGCTGAACTGTTATTGCAGTAAGATAGAGTAATTCTTCATGATGCTTTCGCCACAATAAGAGACAACCATAACCAAACTTTTCCACATTCTTGGTTGGGAAGAAAGGCCAGCATTGAATGGCTACCACATTCACCTGACTCAACATCAATGGATTTCTTTTTTGGGAGTGTAGTAAAGAATAAGGGTTATGAGAGAAATAGCCACAGACTGGACTAATTAAAAGTTTACATCTCAGAAGTATTATTGAAATTTCTGCTGATCGGGATTTGTGTCGTGCTGTGACATAGTGTTCTGGAGAGGTTCGAGAAAAGTTGTAATGTTGAAGGAGGACATTTTGAGCACTTAAAAGCTGTTAAACAAATGTACATAAAAAGTTTCGAACAAACATGATTGTAACAAATATAATATATAATAAAAAATATTTTAAAAGATATAAACTGCATATCTACTAAGTGTAAGCCTCTACATATTGCCCCCGCCCCCCCTAGAGGGAAAGAGGGAGAAAATATATACGTGCGCACTTCTGATGTGTCCCAAATAGCAGACGAAACGGCCGTCCAGTGCTTTCTGCATTCTGATGAGGTTTCTTCTAGACTCGATGAATTACTTATTTATGATTATCTCTATATCCTTGCTTGAACCGGTTTCTAAGCTCTGGACTAAGCGGCTTGGGGATAGTAGACGTGACTCGTGTAGGTATAGTTGGTATGGCCCGTTGGTATGGCGTTTGACTCCTATCATAACTGTTCAGGTTTCTATTCTCGGTAGTGGATGCGCACTGCTGATGAGTCCCAAATATAGGACGAAACGGCCGTCCAGTGCTTTCTGCATTCTGTTGACGTTTCTTCTAGACTCGATGAATTACTTAATTATGATTATTTCAAATCCTCCTAATTATTTTATTTATTTTTATATATATATATATATATATATATATATATATATATATATATATATATATATATATATATATATATATAAAAAAATATGTAAAAACACGTTAGGTAAATAATCCCGAGTATTTTTTATTTTATTTTTAAAAAACAGTGCTCCATACAGAAGTAGAGCTTAAATTTTCGCTTGAGGATGAAACAGGGCTTGATACTGTAATTCAATTTAATTTTAATAATTATATTGATGTTTTTGGCTCTTGTTTTTTGAAACATGAGAACTCTTATGTAGCGAAGGAATCATATTTTTTAATAATTATATATATATATATATATATATATATATATATATATATATATATATATATATATATATCGTGGATTCCATCTAGGTCACATATCAGCTGGATGCCTTTCACAAAAGTTGTCTCCGCACGATTTGTGGCTATACTTTTGAAAAAAAAATGTTCAATGTTGATCTTCTCGCAAAATGCAACATTGATAGAATTGTGACTTTCCTGATGCAATCACAACTTCGCTGGGCTGGTCATGTTACAAAGATCAGTAACGATAGAATACCAAGGTTCTTCATGTATAGCCTGATTAACAGGGAACAAATGATGATCGTGGTTCAGGTATAAAGACAAGTTAAACGAGTTAAACGCTCAGCTGTCAATGTGTCTCAACTTCGAGCTAGTTGCCCCGGATAAAATAATTGAAGATATTTGAGCCAGAGTTGTATCAAAACTTTCGAAATCAGTCGTTGTGACTGGCTAAGAGACGAAAGACAATGGCGAAAAGTATCAGCAAATATTCTTGTTGCTATGTCCTCAGATCCTTGCTGTTGCACAATATGTGGAATTGTATGCAGGTCATTATCAGGACTGAAGTGTCACATACGACACAAACATAACAACTGAATGATGTTGCCGGATCTCCATACGTCGAACTCGACGGGAGAGCCAATTATGTATACAATAGTTTTCCCATTTGTCATAGCTCCAATGCCGTTAGTGTAAACAATATTCAAGATAATCACTCTCCAGTGGATTTATCTATAGATGTTGAAATCTTTTATATTTTCTTCTTTTTTTCCAGAGAGTATTTGCATCCTATCTTACCCAACATTCTATCTTACACAATACCAGGTTGTACTTTCACATATCAAGTATTCTGTTAATAGAAGTCACGAGATTTCATCGCCGACTTACTAAGCCTATCGTGTAGCTTACAGTACCTGGTATTCTACAGTAGCCATCGATCTGAGTACTAACCAAGACCAACGCGGTTTAACTTCGGTGATCGAACGTGAACTGTTGCTTCAACTTGATATAACCGTAACATTTTCACTAGATGTTTAACCATTTCTGTGCAGCTTCAGGCAGCTGATTTTTTTTTTAATTCAGTGTTGTCCTTCTCAAAGACTGGCTGCCAATCATGGCTACATATACCAGTTTACCCTACTATTAAACCCATAACTGGGAGAGAGTAATTGAGATCCTACCTTCCCCAATACCTTTTGTGCAAAAATGAATGGAACGAAGTCGAATGGATTTCCAATGCTTCACGCCGATTTCACATAAATATATATATTTAATACACGCAAAAATCGAAACTGCCGCTTTCTTATGATATAAAAGATGACGAATAATTTTTTTCTTCATCCTCCGACACATGTATATCTATACATGTGTTATGTAATTCCACCGATAATTCAACTTTTATTATATCTTTCCACTTTCCGAATGAAATGTTGTACATCGAGATCGAAGTTATGAATAAATTACCCAACGTTCATGACTGAAGTTCATTCGCTTATTAAAGTCGCTGTTAAGAGCTGCGTATGGTAAGAAAGATTTATTTGACTATACGCTGGTGTATTTCAATTACTGTGATAACCAAAATTACTTGAATATAGCAGAAAAAATGCATGAACGTTAGACAATTTATTCATAACTTCTAAACCGATATACAAACCGCATTTGGGAATTGGAAAGATATAATAAAAAAATGAATATACATGACTTTTCGATGTAATTTAATAAAACTTATTTGAATGGATTATTGCCGAAAAATGCGCCTCATAGATAAAAATATAGTTTTAAGGTATGTTATATTTATAGGTAAAAGTGATATGAGAGATAAGAGCGTATGTAAATATAAATGTAAAAATGAACAGTGAGACAGTCCGTTTCATGCTTGAATGCAATCTTCAGGCTCTATGTGTAGTTTTGTCTCGACTATTTATACACGCAGATTATATATATCGTCGTGGAATAAATAAGAATTTCTCGTTGTCACTCAGCTAGTATCTGTTAAACCAAATATCACTTCTATTAGTATATGATTATCGTAGCCAACAACAGAAGTAACAACTTTACATATTGGCAAACTGCATATTATACATTTCTCTCAAACTAATATAACATCCGGTATCAGATATAGCAAAGATGGTATTAATACTATGTATTATTGTCTTTCATTCTGAAAAGTATCTGTAACCAGAGATTGAATTGCTAGCGTCAATTTTACACCTGTTTGTGTGTATATATATATATATATATATATATATATACAAAGAGGTACGACGCACCTCGGAAAACTCACTCTAATCGTTCTAAGAAAAGAACTCCCGAATTTGTTGGTGAGGACCTCAAACGCAACACGTAGGCCTAGATTAAGTACCTTGATGACACTCCACAATTTCTTATACTTACAAATATTTATTTTACTTACTATTTCACGATTTGTTCTACCATCTATTTACACAAGCTGCTTGGAGAGGTTATTACTGTTTTCCTTTGTCCCTCTCACCTTCAATAAGTCATATTAGGGTCATTTTTTCAAGCCATTCCCCATTATGCAGTTTCGACTCTTTCCGATTAAGTATAGGCGTCAATTATTTTATCATTTTCCTTAAAAATTCCCTCGTTACTCTGTTTATGATATTCTCACCATTCTTTTGTAGAGCATCTCTCTTTCCTCGTCTTTTCTTCAGTTGTAGGGAAATTGTCCAACATTAACTGCCACATAGAAGATTGATATTACATGGCAATTGAACACACTTTTTTTTGTTTTTAATGCCATTTTCCTCTTTCATAATACTTTGCTTATATTTTAGAAGGCATCTTTTACTATTCCAATGCGCCTTCAAATTTCGGTGTCACATTTTCCGTCGTCTGTTAAAATATTTCCCAATATTTATATTTTTGTACTTGCTAGATTTTGACATTTCGTCTTTTTACAATTGGTGTTTAGTTCTTTCTTCCCACTTTCCTTCACTGCCTTTTGTAGGAGCTTGTGGATGCAGTCTACCCGGATTTTAGGTGTAAAAATAAAATCGAAGTTTCATATCCAAAAATTACAAATACAAAACTATAAACAATGCGCATAAATGATCTTCGCAGAAAAGGAAAAAGATCAAGCTAAATAAGACAATAACATTTATACAATAGATATTAATATTCAATTGTTTTTGTTGTGGCCATGAGGAGAACAATAGTTCAAATGTTCAAAGTGAATTGTTGCAAGTGAGTCTGCAAAGTTTGACGTTATTTTGTGGCAAGTGTGTTTGCAAAGTTCGAAGTAATATGTACGTCAGTGAAGCACACGCTAATGAAACGCGTATGACTGCTGACTGATTTTGTATGATAGCATTAATTTTAAAACACAATGAACAAAGAGAGTTGAGACAAGACTTCGTCACGGCTTTGTATGTAGGAAAATCATCGCTGACTGACACGTTTTATGGTAATGTGTGTCCAGGCTGCGCTGGTTCACTGACTGTTTCGTTTCGCAGATCTGTCCGCTGATTATCCTGTTTCAAATCTGTTCCTGGCTGTTGCTGACAAGCCGTTTTTATCGTATTTTGGTCGGTTCTGAAACGCTACTGAGTTTTGCGCGGGAATGTAAATCATACTCTGACCTTTTTCCAAGAGTTCAACTGCACGCATATCGTAGAGAGCATGTTACTTGGCATATACAATCAGATTCCAGAAACCAGTTATTTAATTTTGGAGCCGAGTTTTGTACAGAATTGTAAAGTTTTTTCGTATCTACCGGTGAGATTTATTTGAAAGCGTCTCTTACTTGTGTGGGCTTCACGTATTGTTAATAAAATATAGGAGTTTATCCTATAAGCTTTTGCAGTTTTCATTCTGTGTTGGCTATTAATAATCTTATTTACATATCTTGTTAAGATTATGCCCACCAATAATATATCCTGGTAGGACTTCTAGTTCTCTTAGGATCGCCTCGCAAAAAAAAGTTGAATAAATTCAATGAGAAAATACATATTTGTCTTAAGCCATTTTCTATTTTTGTGTACTCAATTCGTTTTCTGTCAGCATGCAGGCGGTTTGCACCCTGTATAAGTTGCGGGTTATTCTAATATGTTTGGGAAATAAATCAACTTTCTTAATAGTTTAACTTGATTTTTGTGCCGTACCATAGACGCAAAATCATTTCATAAGGATTTGATTTGTTTCTATTTTTATACACGTATGTGTTTTGGGGTGCGTAGGTAGTGTAACGGATATCGGCGAAAAACTTGAAATTAGCGAGCCGAATTCAAATTCTAGCTTCAGTCTCCAACATTCACTTTCGCACGAATGCCATTAGAAAAAACAATTAATCTGTTTCCTCCTGACCCAGATACGGTTTTTGTATTTCAGTGTAGACTGAATTGACTCGCTTTATTTTTTTTTTATTTATTTCTGTTTAAGAGAAGGAAAACCCTGAAATCTAAACCATTTATTAAGCAGTGGAAATCTACTCCACTATCTCAGCCAAGAATACTTGGCAATTTACAGATAATAAAGAAACGAAATTTGTGGAGAGCTTAATACCTGCATCCTGAAAAGAGATCCATTAAAAAAATTAAGTTGGTAAAGATATACCATAGAATTATAGGATTACATTTTATTTCTAAATGTAATATTCAGTTCTTTTTTTCTGTATTTTCCAATCCGTGAAATCAGAAGGTCAGTGAGAGAGAGAGAGAGAGAGAGAGAGAGAGAGAGAGAGAGAGAGAGAGAAATACCAGGAAGCAACAATTTCCCATTTCGTCCACTTTCACACAAATATCCCTGGAAAAAGGCATAAATATTCTCTCCAATTTCAGTTATAGGTGGAATAGTAGGGTAGAATGGCTTTTCTAGCATTGGATAATAACCAGTCTATGGAAATAACAACTCCGAATTAAAAAAGTGTGGCGAAGATTACATCTCCCAAGACCACAGATAATAAAGAAACGGAATCTGTGGAGGGCTATGAGTGGACATTACATATTTTTTAGTGTGTGTCCTGAAAGCTTTAAATCACACACACACACACACACACACAGAGGTGATCTCTTGTGCTAGAGATAAAGAGAGGTTTAGCTGAAAGCACACGATCACAAACATTCTGACAGTGACCGTACACATTGGAAAGGAATATATTCTTTCTTGGTTGTAAACAAGAAAGGTTAGCTAAAATTTAAAAACAATAACAATAATCGTCTGTTATTTTGTTGAGTATTTAGGCAGCAATTCCTCTTTTATACATGGTTCGTTAAAGACGACTAACAAGGTACTGCAATTAAGCTTTTTGTTTCATTTTTCTTGTGTTCCTACGACTGTTTTCTTTTCTAGACACAAAGCGTGTAAAAACTGTCCAAATATTCTACATTTTCGAGCGCTTTCGGCTTTACTTTTAGCAATTATCAACGATGGTTTTATTTTTTGCTTTTGCAATGAATATATGGGTTGTGTGTATGTATCTAAAGTTATAGGATTGTTTTATTTTCCAAACACAGTCAGCATATTGTGGCCGTGTTTGTAGTTAATGTTATTGAGTGTTGGCTTTTTCTTTTTATTGTTAGAGCTTCCATTATCTTTAATCATTTTTTTACATGTGGATGAGGTTATTATGCCTGTATTTTCTACTAATATGTTTCGGATAGAGTCTTTTAGCTTTGTTCTAATGGAGCTGTCGTCGGATAGGTGTAATCTAAGTTTTCTGGTTAGACATGTAGTAGTGTGAGCGATGTAATTATTTATGAGTTTGGTTTGATCAGAGACATAGTTACTTAAGGAGCATTTGAACTCCTAAATAATGTAGGTTCTTTGTAACTTTGATTTTGCATGCATGTTGTTGTTATTTTCGAGGGTAATGTTGGCTGTTTGAAATTTTTTTATAATAGATAATTAACTTAATTTTTTGTTCGGGTCAAGTCGGGTATTGTATTTCATTACGATATTTCTAAGTGAAGATTCATCTCGCTTATATTTGACGTGCATTTATCTTTTGTAAGAAGATGGATGATGTTAATGTTTTTGTCTCTGTGTTCAGTATCGTT